TGGGGTTGAAGTTGGGGTTAGGGTTAAGGTTGGGGTTGGGGTTGGGGTTGGGGTTAGGGTTGGGGTTAGGGTTATCAAACGTTTAAAATGTCTGCAGTATAGAAGTTTTCCCTAATATTTAACCCTCTTTAATCTTGCGCTATATACAAAGCAAACTGCAGAACTATGTTTGTGTGTGTTTTTTTGTTTTTGAATTAAATGCTAGACGAACTTTTGATACCATACAGTGACAACGTAAAATAACTGCAGCTATAGAACTTTCAATATCTTGGTAGATACGTTTGGAAATGATTTTTCCATTTTGCTATCTTGATACTTGTGAAGTCAGATGGTTTTGATACATATCCTAAACCTTTTTGAAAGTTATAAAAACTGAACAGGATCTAATCTCTAACGTGAAATTTCTGCTTTCTTCGTGGTCCTGTTATAGCTTAATAATTATTATCATAATCATATTTTTTTAAAGCAAAGGTATGTGTTTTTAAAATTGAAGTAAAAAGTAAAAATGTAACATGATGCACGTTCCAGTAGGAATCTTGACTAGATGAACTGTAGTAAATTGACAATGAATTTTCCACATTATATTGCAACTAAACGGTCAAAAATGTGACATTCTGATCAGATTCTGATAATAGATGCAGGGAAATGGAAATAAAGCCACATGTCTTGAGCCACTTAAAAAAATTTTGGAAGCCCTTTTTTTGTGTGTCCAGCAGGTTGATGACCAAAATATACCACATAATTAATAACAGACGACTTCAGTCTGAGCTTCTTTACACTGCTCGGAGTTCAGGAATAAAATCGCACAGTTAACACCACAATGAAAGAATCCTCATCTCTAAAGACACGGTACGAATGTTAGAAACAAAGAATCAAGTAATCCTACTTGTTTTCATAAATTTACCATGTACATGCATGAAACATTTGAAAATACATCGAATGGGGCTTATGAAAAGAACCAGTGTCACATTAGAGTATCTGTGTTATTATAATACTCCGAGTAATATCCACATGGTATGTTTTTTTGCTGATACGAGATGCACAGTTCGGCTGATGAAGCTTAAGTTAAACCCACACGTGCTGAATGTGTTCGAACCTTAACCATAAGCATTGACATTTTAGTGATCAATACTTATGTAAGCACTTGGGACGTGTTTATTAGCCTATAAACCTATGCAGCCGTGTTCAGGCCGGTGTTGTTCAACTTGCAATCTTCCGATGAAACATCAAGAGCAACATTTTAATTACAGCTTTTGCTCTTACCCGAAGTATATTCTTAAACACTGTTCACTCAGCCCCCTGTCAGAGAGCTGTGAAAAAAAACACAAGTTGTGTTCGGGTGGGACTCGGACACATAACCTCCCGCTTACTAGCGCAGACATCAGGAGCAAAAGCTGAGGTGAGCGAAAGAGCCAAACGCCCTCTTACGCTCTCGAAGCTGGTGAACCTAAGACCATTGAGCTTTTGCCATTTTGTATGAAACAGAGACAACAAGGAAAGAACTGTGGGAAGTTGTAAGCCTACTTTAATAGAATTCGCCATGACTACATGAAACCGACCGGGGAGACCATTTCAGTCGACTGTAAGTGACGCGAAAGCCTTGGGTGCGTTTCAGCCGCCTCTGTAAATGTTCAGTCTCTCAAACCAAGAACTCAACCTTAATTGGTCTACATCATCAATCTGTGCTGAGGAAGTAGGCCTCTGTAAACTGTGAGCCCCTAGGACAGCGGACCGTATCATGAATCAGGCCTCTCAAGGTATAAGTCGTCGTGTGAGGAAAGGTTGAGCTCTGCAATTGTTTGGTCCTCAAACTATGGACCTTAACATTAATTATATCACCATATGTACTGACAAAATGATTTTTATGTAGACTACGAGCCCTTTCAACAGTTGGCAAAGCCACCCGTTCACGTCCACTTCCTGAAAGCAACCAAGGGGTAAGCTAGGTATCATCCGACTGGTTGCGGTTGTCAAGAGGAAAATTGATCTTTGCGTCCCTTAGGAAACAATGAAGGAAACTATTTCTTCAAGGAAGGCAAAACGGAGAAGAAAAGGCTCAACGAAAAGAGGACAGAAATTTTGAAATTTACTTGTTTCCATCGAGATCCTCTAGATCCAACCCTCTTCACTGCAGCGTGATTTGTCAGTCTGACTCTACTGACTACCCTCCCCGAAGACAGGTGTGGTCCTATTATTGTTGACAGCCATACAACTGAAAAGAGTTCAGACCCCTTCCTATGTTGCGGCATCTTGATGGATTCACGCGTATGATTGGATCATGCCACCCAAAGAATTACTGAGAATGTATCTTGATGGCACGGCAAATAATCGCAGCCATCGTAGCACAGAGAGTTAAACTTGGGGGCAGTAAGGGGTGAACGTTTGGAGGTTACACCCCCGGGGAAAACATAAGTAGAGAGCAAATATCCTGAAACAGCAGCTTTGTCCAGGCAAAACTGCGGCTCCCCCATAAACTCTTTGTTAACACATTTCAAGAAAGTGTCGAGCTCTCATTTTTTCCGTTTTGCAGTTTTGTTTGCATGGCATAAAAAAACCTTCCGCTACAATTCTGTAAAGTAAGCAACAGCGTTTCAGCTAGGTGCTACCATGCTCAACGGTTTATAAAGATTTGGTTGGGTTCAGGATCGAAGTGACAGAATTCATTTGCATGCACTTTGGTCGAATGTGATCAAAGCAGCAAGCTGGAGAATGAAGTGGTGGTAGACGACCAATGCAGTACACTAAATGAAACACTGAATAGCATGTGCACTTAACGTGAAAATTACTTGACAACGAGTCCATTTTTCTCTGCCAGCGCTTTGAGTGAGTCCTTGATGCACCTCCTGTCCTTATATGACAGTAGACTGAATGCTAAGTTCAACTTTTTGAGATGTCTCAACTCTTTCAACTGTGTGACCCATGAAGCTGCTGTGCCATTCAGAAAATTGGAAGAAAGATCCAATGCAACAAGATTTGGTACATCTCTGAGAGACTCGGCAACTCGAGTCACATCATCTCCCTCCAGCGAGCAATATTTCAAACTAAGCTTCTTGAGATTTATCAGCCTCTTCAAATACTGGCTCCATACCGATGCGTTACTCAGGTTATTGCCGGCGAGATTCAATTCAATCAAGTTGGGTATGCAACTTAGCGACTCGACAATGTGTGAGATATCCTCTCCTTTCAAGTGGCAATCTCTGAAATGCAACTTGCGGATGTGTGGCAGCTGCTTCAGGTCTGGGCCCCATACATCTGCATTACCTCCCAGTAAGATGTTATTGGAAAGATTCCATTCAACAAAGTTGGGCAGATCGCACAGCGAGGCTACGATATTTTTCATGTCGTGGATTGACACCCAGGCCCCACTCATATCAAGGCTCCTTAAACTTCGCAAATATTGTAAGGACAGACACCACCACGGGCACACGTCTCTCATGTTAAACAAAAGGTCGATTCCCCTCTGCATTTTGGTAAGGTCCTGCGTGTCTTCCACTCTTAAGCCCAACGATGTCCTAGTTCCAGTTCCCGGCAGGTAGCTGTTGGAGGAAATGTTCAGTTCGAGGGAGTTGGTGAGATCCTTGAGAGCCCCGTTGATATACACAATATCACGCCCTTTCAATGAGCAATTACTCAAGCCCAGTTTCTGCAGTTTCTTTAACTGCTGTAATCGCTTGTACCACTGGTCTGCTGTATGAGCTAGGTCACTACCAGAGAGGTTTAGTTCAACCAAGCTAAGATCACCCACTGCCTTAAGAACATGTACAGCATCGCCTCCTTTCAATGAGCAGTCACTCAAATCCAGCTTCTCTATGTGAGACAAAAGCCTTAAATGGTTGCACCACGAGGCTGCTGTACCAGCCATCTCTTTATTGCCAGAAAGGTTCAGTTCGGCCAAAACTGGCAGACTCGTTAATGTCTCCATCACACATTTGACGTCCTGTCCTTTCAATGAGCAGCGAGTCAAGTCCAGCGTCTTAAGGTTTGGCAACTGTATCACATGGCACCACTGTTCTCCAGTACCACCCAAGTCATTTCCATTAAGCTTCAGTTCGTCCAGTTCTGGCAAATCCTTCACCGACTCAGCCATAGCTTTGATGTCTTCTCCATGCAATGAGCAGTGACCCATGTTTAACTTCCGAAGTTTATGAAACTGTTTGAACTCCATACACCATGACGCCACAGTACCACCAAGGCATCCGTTGAAGGAAATATTCATTTCCTCCAAGTATGGTACACTCACAAGGGAATCTGAAATATGTCCCATAGCTTTTTCCGAAAGTGCACACCTTTCGAACCGTACAGTATGCAAATTCGCCATTTCCTTCATGGCAACAGCTAAATCCTCGACACAAACTGTCAAATCCAAGCTTTCGAAGTCTAGTGTCTGTATCTTGGCAAGGTGTCGGGTGCCCCTCCCCGTTTCATGTTGTGAAACACGCTTCAGAAAATAGGCCATTGAGATCAGACGATCACTATCATTTTCACGACTGTCAAGGACAATGTCCTCAGTTACGACTGCATCTATGAATTCCTTTGGAGGTAGAAACTTTGACTGACCCTCAAAGTAACAGTGTAGTGCCAGCTGACAGCGCATCGAGTCAAATGATAAGTCATCCCGAAACCTCTCCTGAAATTGCTTCAGTATCTCAGGCGTACATGCTGGGTTGACACCACAACAAAACCGAAGAAGATACTCCAACCCTGCTACATGTTTCGACATGATTTGGTTGAGGGCTTTCTGAAATTCATCTACATCAACTCCCCATAGATTCTTCAAGTACTCAGCAGCGGCGAAATCCCGATATGTCAAGTGAATGAACTGTACTATGTTTTGAGTTCGCAGCCCTTTCTTGAGAACTCTCTGTTTGGTCAAAATGCCTGCTCGTAGCGCTATATCAAGCACACCTTGTTTAAAGTGACCATCCCTCAAAAAGATCCCTTGATCTTCGGAGAGAAGACCATGCTTTAAGCCAACCTCACCAATATCGGGGACAACGTTTGCTATTTCTTCTTCTGGTATGCCTTTTGATTTGAAGATGTAATCGACTGTGTCTTTGTACATGTCTGTCAGTGTCTCTGGGAGTGTCTCGTTCTCTCTCCACAATAAGCAAACGAACAGTAGCAGCATTGGAGTCTTTGCTAATCGGGACAAGACGGCAGAAGAGCGAATCCTTTCCAAAATCCCCTCAGCCTGAGCTGATTCCACAGACACATGGGCAAGCTCGTCCTTCTTCCTTCTGGCGAGCTTCGCGGCATCTTCCTTATTAACCTTGAAAAACTTGTGCACGTACTCAACAGCATTGGCGTCACTGAACCCCAAGATCCTAACATGTGTGAAAGGTTCATGAACCAATTCCTTTGTTACCAGCCTGTCAAAATGGGAGGGGCGTGTTGAAACAAGTACAGTGCAGCCTCTAAATACCTTTCGACTCAGGATTTTTAGGACGGAGCCGAATGAGGATTCATCCAGCTTGGTAGCCACCAACTCATCAGAGCCATCCAGAAGAACGAGCACTTTTTTATCATCATTCTTAACATACTCTCTCAAGGCCACTTTCTCTATGTTTGCTTCTTCTTCTAAGAGTTGGTCAAAAACAGCCTCAATAAGATCTGAACTCTCCTCAAGAACTGACATTTTTAACTTGAAAAGAAGTTTATACTTCCTTAGTGTCTCACTGACACCGCAGGCCCAGTCATACGCCATTTTGTCAAAGAGTGTCGTTTTCCCCGTTCCGTGCAAGCCGTTTACAACCGCTACCAAAACAGGTTTACCCTCTTTTGTTTTAAAGAGAAAAATGTCCTCGTATGATTTCAGTCTAGTACCACTGAAACTTCCAGGCGCCAGACTAGTCTCCTTTAGTCTAACTGTACCCTTGGCAGCCCCAACTAACTGTACTTCTGTGAATGTATTCATGTGTTGCTTGTCGTCGAGGGCGCACGGAAGCGCGCCGACATAGCTACAAGATCCAATGTAACAAGTCCTTAGTGCATTTTCGCAGCTATCAGCGGCTTCATCGGTACGGCTGTGCGATCTTGGTCCACCGGATGGTTTTTGTGCTATAAACAAAGAGAAGAATACCTGTCCATTAATCAATCAGTGTTTAGCTAAGCAATCAGTCACGCGTCCATCCATTTACTTCAAAGTTGTATTCTAGAATCTAGAATAATACGAGTACCATTATATTGCAAAGGTACCAGGATTGTGGGCATGCTGAATGTTCTGTGCAGCCCTAACCAATAATGAGCCCACACTCATTCTAGGTTGCTTGTTTTAGCAGTAAATCTCGATGAACCTATGTAAACATAACTGAGTCGGTCATCAAAAATTACAAAAAAGTATAAATTTCTTTTTAGTTCGAGTGCCAGACTCACACGAAATGCAGTGCCCTCGTGCTCTTTCCCTTGGAAGTAGATTAAAGGGGAAAGTCATACACCGTCCTCTAAAGGTTGTGTACAGGATTTGCAAGATCTCAAAACGGGGACTTTCGAATTTTCTCGAAATATGTAAGTGTGAAGTAAGTACATCATAGTGTCAGACAATTTGTGAATTCTTACCGCCAGGAGTGCTGTCATTTTTTAAAAAAAAAAGCAAAATTTAATTTTTTTCTAAAGATCGTTCGAAAAATACAGTTCGTTAAAATACCGTAACCGTGACCGTACCGTGACGGACGGCTTGAAAGAGTCTGTTTTAATGGGTAATGCACTGCCAACGCGCCTTCAGTACGCTTAAACCTATTAGTAACTGATAAAACATTGATATATAACCATGCTTAGCGGCCTCAAAAGGTAATTCGGACTGGTTTGAAATTTAAGTTTCTTTATGAAACACAGAAGTTTACCTCCCGTGAATATATTATCGCGGCATCAACCCTTATTAGATAATGTTATGGCACTAATCAATCATTGCTGCTCCTTTGGAGCTTCATAGCGAAGCGTGTTATTTTCGAACAAAATTTTCAATCTCGAGACATAAGCTTTACTTTTTTCAGGCACAGTAACTCTCACGCCAAAAAATGCAGGGATAGTTACCTCGTTTTAAGTGTTTATAATGATGGGTACTGTCGGTGTGTGGACGGTTTTTGAACGACGTAGGCCTACGTCGGAAGAGTGAATGGGCACCCGATCCGACTACCCACCGCTACTTGTAAGCGAGACCTGCGCAGCAAATTAGACTGCAACAACTGTGATGCTAGTATATTATCGTATGATGCAATACAGTAGGCAAACTTATAAGTGAGGCTTGTTCGAGTCTTCTGCATGCAAACCTTTGAGACACTGACTAGCCTCACTTCTAAGTTAGCCTACTGTATTGCATCTTACGATAATAAAAAGTATCATCAGGGTTATTGCATGGCTATTTTGCTGCACATGCCTCACTTATAAGTAGCGCTGGGTAGTCGGTTCGGGTCACTGCAGTGAATTCTCTGCACGACGACACCGTGTTTTTTAACAAATTCTTAGCGTTGCATTGTTGAAGAAGAAAAACCTAAAGGTAAATGTGTCAACAACAATTACCCCACGAAGCCACTGAAAAAGAATGCATTTTTGAGGGCCATTTTGGTCTGCAGGTCGTACTCGCTAGTGCATCGTCTAGACACTCAGGAACGTCCTGTGGCCCATGGATTTTTATGACACAAATTACACGAGTTGAGCTTTGGGTTTTAAAAAGAGACAGTGTTTTTCTCGATTTTTCTCAAAGCAGTGAATTTTAAAAATGAAACAGGTCTGTGGAATGATACACAAAGTGAAACGTAAACCCCCAAATTGGCAAATTTTGACAAATGGCAGTATACGCAAATCCTATATACACTACATTTAATAATCGAAATGCATGCACTTCCCGCGTGGCATCACTAGACTGTTATCATGGCACCGTACCTTGTAGCATTAAGAGTGGATCCCCCGGCATGAAGATCTCCTCTGATGCTAGAATCTGGTGGAGGGCCTCGAGCTTGTACACGTCTGTGGGCTGTTTTTGTCTCCAGTTAACGAGAAGATGGAAGATTTGATCTACCACGTTATTGGGAAAGCTTGCATGAAGTACTGGTACTGTTTCAGGGCCAAAGCCTAGTTTCGTAGCCAGCTCAGGTAATTTCCGTGGGTCACATTGCAGAGATATTCCGTAGAGTATGTCATCAGTAGGTTCCTCTGGTTAAAAAAGGCGCAAGATACAATGACATGTCAGGCGCAGACACACCCACCATCACACCAAGTGGAAATGTACGTTGTTCTCCATATCACCCCACCCATGTAAACACCAAACGTAACCCACAAATTGTCCTTGATTCGGATATAAAGACCCAACACAAAGATGGGCCACACAAATGCTGCATTCGTAACCTTAATGTCTGCACTTGGAGCTTTGACAGAACGTCACTGATCAATTCTTTTACACGCCTTGGCATTCGTGTGTTTGGTTGTTTTTCTTTTGTAGGAGCCTTCGTCGAATAGTCTTTCGATAAGGGGTGACGAATCAATACAAAACGCAAATAGAACGAAAGACTAGAAAATCCTGGAAAATATAGTCACTTCACTGTAGAACATGTGTCTGTTCTCCCTAAAATCATGAACGTGTAAGCTCGTAAAAATCTTTGCAATAAAGTAACGTATTGCTGTTATTCCCGCCAAGAAAGTAGTTTGATCAATGTTGGGTTTTCAGGTTAATCCAACGCATCACCAATGCAGCTGGTGAATAAGGATAAAGGTTACTGCAAGCCGTTAATTAACTTTAAAGCCCGTTTTGGGAGTACAATCTGGAACCTTTGTTAGTTCTAACAATGGAGCACGAATAATTGAATGGATTTTCCCCCTTCACTAATCGGTTCAGTGTCGTTCGGTCAAAACTTTAGTCCTCAGAAAGTTGGGTTACGATGCAGCATTTTATGGCCCGGCTTTGTTATGGGCCCTCCTAATCTAAAAGGAAAGAAAACATAGAATATAGGTCGGGCGTCAATCACTCCGCGGCAATCCAGCACATTTACTACAAGGATAAGACGATCTATCATCATTGGTCGATACTGCAGATGGATGTGATCAAAGTACGGCTGCAACAACACACGGCCCGCGGTTGGCTAGAAGACACCGCTTTGAAACTTCACTGTCACCGTCTAAAATCTTATTCCGCTTTCCTGTCCCAACAATCCTTAAAGGGTTGACCATACGTTAGGTCAGATAAGCACTACAGGCCGTTAAAACGCATTTTGTACTGGCAGGGCTTCCCAGTTTATTGGCGTGACATATGTATTACATAATGCATGTATTACTGCCATGATTATTATTATAGTGACATTTTGCTTTAATGAACGCCTCGCAGCTCAGTTGGGTAGGTGCATTTCATAAATTGGAAAATTGAGGTTAATTGCTGCAAAATGCAGCACCTCTCTGCTGTAAGAAAAATGAAAAATACAAATATGTCACGGCTACCGAGTACAAGTACAGCGAATTTTGTTCACGTGTTGGATGCTACTTTTAAAAGGTTTATCTTTTAGCATACCTCGTATTTTTGCTGCAGCACCTGCCGTGCTTAGTTCTGACGTGTGCGGCCGTAAATCAGACAGCTGACCAGACTGGTCTGATGTGTCTTCGGGACCTCCGGTCAATTCTGTACAAGTTCGATTTCAACAACCATCAATGAAGACCAGAAAATCAAGATACAAGAGGGATTGCTGAGTATTCCATACGGTAGAAATTGGTAAAAAAAAAGGAAAAAGTTAGCACAGTTGAAGTTTAAAACGACCAAGTGGGGTTATAAATTGACTTGATTTTAATTAAACAAAATTCGAAAAAAATCCCTCCATCTCTTGATAATCTAAGGGAGCTGTGGAACTATCCCCTCTTCCTACTCCATTCCTATATAAGAGACTAACCTTTTTGCAAGCCTAGATATAAAGCAAATAATATTATGTATTGAACAGTGTGTACATGTTTACGATAATTTACCTTGTGGTTCTGCTGTAGCATCTTCAGCGGTTTGTTCCTGTGAGGGGCACGCTTGATTCCTCGATTTTTCACCGGGAGATGCCAGACTGCTCTGTTCTCTTTGTGGAGGTTCTGTAGAGAATCAAACAACGACAAAACAAAAGTTATAAGCGCACATCAATTATCATTCACGGGATTTACTTAAAGAAAATCCTCATTCACCTTTTAATTGTATGTTCATTCCCAAGTATTTATTTCCCAAGTTTATCGTAAGGCCCAAATACAGCTACCTCGCAACTGAACAGCAAGATCACTTCTGCCAAGCTTTTCCAGTGCAGCGCAGAGACTATCCACTTGATTGTGGGGATATTTTCTTTTCCAGTAGTAAAGAACAACACCGTTAGCTATCGCATCGTCAACGTAGAACTGAGATACGAGGGCAGAGATTTCCGAGAAGGACAAGCCGAGGCTTTCAACCAACTCCTGCAGCGATATGTCACTCAGTTCATCTGCTATCGTTTCCAGCATCATGTCGGATATCTGTTCTGTAGTGATCAAAGAAAAAAATAGAGTAGTGACCTACGGTAGAGCTTCACCCTTTGCCGACTGCATGATATACTTCCTTCGTCTCAGGTTATATCGGTAAAAAGTATTTAAAATGGAAGGAAAACAATATTAAAATAGAACGTTGACTGGTTCTGCGACATACACAGCCTTGTTCATTAACGCATGGGCTTAGATCCCTGGGGATGTGGGTGAGGGTTTATGCCCCACTTCTAACTACTAAATGCCATTGCATCAGAAGGAGTACTTCGTCCACTATCGAATGTGAAAGTTTAACAGATAAAACCGTTTACCGGGTGTTGTTGTGGAATCAGGGGTTTGCTGAGGTGACCTGCTTGGTTGCTTCTGTGACTCTTTTTTAGTGGAAAAGAGACCAAGACTAAACTGGTCCTGCGTCCGAGTAGGACCTGAAAACCAGCCAGTAAAGAGGTGAGAGTAAATACAACATTTTAATTCCATGTAGCAATTGCTTACACGTAGAGTTGATCTTACTTTCTCAACGTTTTCTCTTCACCCACGTAATCAACCTGAAGATCACTCTGCTTGACAAAGCCCAAAACGGAAGCTCAAATTTCGATCATTTACCGAAAATACTTTTCATATTTTTAGTGATACAAATTTCAACCCTAAAACTGTATACGGTTTCAGATCATAATTCCAGTGGCCCCCGTTTAATTAACTTTTATGCTAAATTGCCCAAAATGACCTGCATGTCATTCCAGACTCAAATACGGTATACATGTACCCTGGTATATCTAACCTGCATTTATGAACACTGAAGCTTCTTACTGTGATATTTGTGTACCATTTTCAAATCACTCTTTGTGAAAATGTCAACACTTTTTGGAAATGGAAAAAAGATTCTGCTACGATTGGAAGGCCTAGGCGGGCCATACTTTACAATGTCTGTTATTTGTAATGGCTGAGAAGAAATTTCAGTTGATATTGGTAAACACGGAAACTATGCAGTTTTGTTCTGTATAAAATTAACCTGGCAAGGTTTTAGATTAAACAGACGTAAACATTTTACCTTGCAATTCTCGGACTAGATCCTCTCTCCCAAAAGACTTCAAACCTGTGAACATCATATTCTCTAAGATGGTTTTATTCACATCGCTTGGAATCTCGAGCTCTCCACTCTGAAGTTTCACTAGTGCCTTGTGCAGTTTTTCAGGAGTTATTTCGTCTGCGAAAATTCATGAGTTAAATAGATAAATGTCACAAAACCACGATCAGAAGATATTCAAACTGAGCAAAAAGTTCTTATTTTCCGGGATCGTTGAGTTGTTATTTTCTACTTGGTTCAGCTGGGTCCTCATACCATCCATAGGACATTTTCTGATGTTAAGCTTTCATAACTTTTAATTTTTACAGAAGCTCATTCTGCACCGTTCCATGTGACTACTTTTCATCGGATTGTACAACAGTTTGATTATGAAAGCAAAACACCAAAGAAATTACCAACGATTCCTTTTGTCTGTAACCAGAGATGTTTTAACGAACCAGTCCCCGACGTATTAGAGGTGTGCATATGGAGTGTGCTCAGGGGGAGTTTGGCCAAGGCAAGGAACAGAATATACTTAATCATTTTCTGACTTCACGGTATATGGCTACAATAATCCCTGGCCTTGCCTTTTTTTTCAAATTCCGAAATACGTCCTTTCTGGCAATAGATCAATTTTCACAAGCACCTGAGTCTTCCGAGTCGTCAGTGGGGGATGTCTGCTCCTTCCTCTCCGCGTGTTTTCTGCTGTCTCCTCCATCCCACTCGGCCATTGTGTCTGATCATAAAAAACGACAGGGCAAAGTTCTGCTGGCTGACGATATGTGGTGCTCGTACGATTCCCTCGCGGCAAGAGTTCCATAAACCATCTATACTGCCAAAATTTGGTTGCGTACTTTGTAGTGGTAGTAGCACACGAATACAGCATGGTTTGCGGGGAAGTAGTGAAAATTACTGGTCCTGAGGTGTACCAGTAGGTCAGCTTGACTACATCCCGACGCGAATCGGAGATAAAATAGGATGTACTAGACTAAAATTAGTCGCACAATAGTCAAGAACCATCTAGACACCAACAAGTCAGTAGCTACAAATCTAAAAAGTGAGAGCGGTTAAAACAATAAGAGTCCTTGATGTAGGTTGGCAGCTGACTCCATACGCGTGGGAAATCATGAACAGGGAAGTTTTTGAGACTTTGGGTTCTAGCACATGATTAAAAGAGACCGTATCAAGATTGCGAGTGTTGACTTCTGTATTGGATTCACAGAAGTATCCCTTAATCGCCTTGTAACTTTCAACAAATTTCAAGGGCGAGTGTGGAAAGAGTTGCATAAAGAAGCCACTAGTTTTCAGTAAAATTTTGATTAGCAGACAGGTTTAAAAGGGGCAACATTTATTTGTTGCCAGACAGAGTCTCTATGTTCCATTTGAAATTACTGTTCAACTAAGCTGAGGTCCGGATGACGTCACTATGAATTTACCATAAATATAACATTTATGATGATGAATATTAAGCAAAAAGAATATTCAAGATAATTATTATTTATGAATAATTAAATATTCTTTTCCAAACTTGGAAGAGGCGTCGTAAATTTCGTGATCCTTGGAACTTTGGAACTTAAGAATATTGTATTCTTCCTGTCTCAGAGGCTGCCTTTATCTTCCTTTCAATCAAGAAGCTAACCTTCGAAAGGGTCTCTTGATGAAATTGTAGACTCTTCTTCCCTTAGAAAATGTCCTCCAAACCTAAATTTTTAAACCTAAAGAAGTTTCTTCCCTTTCTCCAAACTTACAAATTCGAAAAACAAATAGGTTTCCTGCTTTAAAAATTGTCCTGGTGCAGCGTTGTGGGTACACATGTACACGAAAAATGTTTACAATTACCTGTTTTCAATCGGTGAAGTCTTCAAGGCCAGCAACACACTGTTCAACATGCCCGTCTCGACATTAAAGAAGTCAACAGTACGTCCTGAATTTCTCTAAGCAATGTTAATGATGTAGAAATAAAACATTTCCTGGGATTAAGAGGTAGCTATAGGCCTATACTGCTAAAGATTCTGAGTTCGTACCAATGTGGAGCACACATTTGTTTACAACATGTTACTCTGAAATGTACAGTTCTTGTGCAGCACACACCTGCTTACGACACTTTACATTGAAATGTACAAAGTGGAGTTCAAGGGTCAAATTAATGAACACAATGCCGTGCCATGTAACCCAGACTACGCCTATTTATTTCAACAGTGTAGCATACATGTTTACAAACCAGAACGCCACGGTCAAAGATCAACAAGGCATAACACAGGTTGAAATGAATAGTAGAAGCAGCTAGGCGTCGTAACACGTTAGCTGGAGGCCATTTTGAATCGTGTTTCCCGTACTTTCGTTGTTCCCCACTCTCTGGAACCGGAAGAATCGTGACTAGGCCTAGTTGCTATTATAGTTGAGGCCTCACAGTGAAAAAGTGTTTGGTTTGGAACAGAAGTGGAAAAACGCCCTTCAGAGCAAAAACATGGTATCAAACCATGTCACTGATCTTCTTTTCATCACTGACATGGCGTGTTTGGATGAAAATTTCATCGATTGACCCGTTTACTTCTTAAGATCCTCGACCTGTGATAGCTTCCTGAATTTCACGGCACTTATTAACACATGTCATCACTATCTGCTACCTTATTTAGCGATCTATCTGGCGAACAATGTCGGTGTTGTTTAAGTTGACTCGTTCATTTAAGTTTTTCTACACTGTCAGGCTTTACATTATTATAAAGTAGATTTACTGTTTAATTTGGTGATGTTATAAAAAGGGTAATTGCACATTCATATAATGTCGATAAACACTCTGTGACCGCAAGAAGCCTGTAATTAACGACTGGGTAATAACAAACCATACATTTATACGATTCTCCACGTTTGCGAGTTTAGTTGTACCCCCCCCCATTTCACCGACGCGTGTATTCATGTCAACAGACCCGATGTGTAAGCAAATAAGTCAGTCCAGTATTCCAATAAAACCTGCATCTAATATGTACCAATTGTATGCAAATGCTACTCCTTCATTCAACAACCAATGACATTAACGCACCCTGAACATTTGGCACATTGACCTCGAGATAATCGATCTGCTATGCGCTTGCTATAAAGTTAGGTTAGAGATATGTATCAAAAACTACACGGAATCTAGAAGTGTTTTCTACTAGTAACAGTATGATCAGAATATTTTAAATGCATTTCTGACAGGATGTAATTTTTTATTAAATAGTTAAAATATACTTTGTTCCGAAAGAATAGCTTATTGTAAAAAGAAATGAGAAAATGCTAATAAGAATATAGCCAAGCTTTAAAGGCGTGATGTACATTTCCTGTTTTATTATTTTCTATTTTGAAAACAAAAATCTTTTTCGTTACAGACTCATTCAGAAAACACACTTAGGCCTACTCGGCTTTCTTGATTCTTGCAAATTAAAAACAATCTTTGATGAAACCCAAACGATTCTATACATGGTAGATATTGGGTGCATTTAATACTGAGGCAACACTGTATGTGGTAAGTGTTTGGTTTATGTTTTGCTTTGGTGCTAAATAATTATATCGTAACATTGACCAAACATTGAAACATCTAAAAAAAAAAACGGCGCGTTTGCGTCAAAGTCCCTGCAAAGCATTGTTTCATGAAAAGAACAATGCCGTAAACTTCAACACATGAAGAGTATTGGAAGATCCACATACTCCCAATCACATCACGTGTTTGGATCGTTCTAGTTTTCCTCTAATCAGTAAATTTCAGAAACAGCAATTTCGGCTTGAGCGACATCAAAGTTGCAAAGTGTGCCTTTGGAAATCTGCTTCAACTGTGTGAACAATGATGTAACCAACGTGGATATTTCCCTGGTATTTTTTTGCATAACTGAAGTCAGGGCATATTAAAGACTACCAAAAATTGCCGTTTAAACTGCACATCTAATAACTACTTAAATCCACCGTTGGTGATATTTTTCTACAAACTGATACTCCTACAAACCCTTTTCCTTTCATGTATTGGAAAATATTACAAAGACCAAAATCACAAACCCTCTTTACACTGACAGCTGACAATTGTTATATTTACGACAATTACTTGGAATCAACAAAGAATATTCACAAGTATTGTAAGTAAACATTTTAAGCATCTGTATAAATATCACAAAATAACGATATATAACAACTAACACATGAGACACAGTTTGGAAGCTGATGTTGATATTTTCTTCGCCTTCAGAGATTTCACAGATGTCATTTGGCTAAGAGCCCTTTGTTATTTTGGTATTGAGAAGGAAAATATCCATTACCAAAACAAAATTAGAACAAATCTTGACAAATGAAAGATTAAATAGTAACAGCACTTCTACAGCTCTGAAGTATTTGCAGCGACAAGTGCGGGCGATTTTAAGACACACTCTCTGTTTAGTTTTTGCCCGTCATCATTGTTCGATTACGCCGAGGCTTTTAAGCTATTTTTCAGGAGCAATCCAGATTTTGAAGCTTAATATCTGTGTCTACAGTGTACTTAACGGTAGACACAAGGCGCGTATCCAGACTCTGACCGTAAGAAGAATAGTGCACTAGAGCAGTGTTAAAGGAAATACTGACCGGCAGTATGCATTCAGGCAATTAGCGACCTGGCAGATGACTACGGATTCTTTCTATACGAGAAGCAAAGAATAAACACAGAGACATGCTCAGCTGGGGGTCATAAGTAGTAGCGGGTAGTCGGATCGGGTACGGTGGGATCATTCACTGCTGACCGTTACTCATTAGATTACTTCCAGACTGATTCTTGTGCATGCCTTACGTACGTCCGATTTGATATGTCATAATTTTCCTCTGCAACAACTGACATGAGACTATGATTACAAAAGAGGATCGAAATATAGTTAAGTTCAGAGACGATTTATCACACTTTCTATCTTCACAGCCTCCTGGAAAATGGAAAGCCAACCGAATACGGATGGGGAGAATTTAATAGTATTCAATTGCTAATCCGTTTCTCTCGAGTGTCTCCTTGATGCATCTCATGTCTTTCTGCAACAAGTTACAGAATTTCAGTTTCAACGTTTGAAGATGTATCAACCCCTTCAAGTAAACTGCCCATGAACCCGGTGTATCACGTAGGTCATTGGAAGACAGATTCAGTGCAATCAAGTTTGGCAGATATCTGAGTGATTCGGCAGTCTGTCTTACGTGCTCCCCTTCCAGAGAACAGCCCTTTAAGCTAAGCTTCTTGAGGTTTGTCAACATCTTCAATTGCTGGCACCAAACTGGGGAATCGCCCAATCCGTTGCGAGAGAGATTTAATTCTATCAAGCTGGGTAGGCAGCTTAACGACTCCACGATGCTATTGATATCTTGCCCTTTCAAGAAGCATTTCTTCAAATGCAATTTCCGAATGTGCTGAAGCAGTTGGAGATGAATGGCAAATTTATCAGCATGGCCGCCCAAGAGAGAGTTACTAGAGAGATTCCATTCGACAAAGTTGGGCAGATCACTCAGTGCGTGGCACACATTCTTGACGTCCAAATCTGTCAAGACGCTGTCACTCATGTCAAGGATTTCCATTCTTTGCAACTTAGTTAGGTACATACACCACCATGGTGCAGGGCCTTCCTGGTCAAATCCTGGATCGACTTCTTTCTGCCTTGTTCTTGACCTTAACGAAGCTTGAACAAAACAAGAAATTCCCGATAGGTAGCTGTTACGAGAGATGTTCAGTTCCAGGAACTCAGTAAGATCTTGAAGACTTTCAAGTATATCTCTCATGTCCCGTGCTTTCAAGGAGCAGTTACACAAGTCGAGCTTCTTCAGCTTCTTAAGCTGCTTCAAGTGTTTTGACCACCGATCTGCGGCACCTCCAAGGTCATTGTTGGCAAGGTTTAATTCGACCAGACTGAGTTCACTCAATGCTTCAAGAACATGTACAGCACCATCCCCTCTTAATGAGCAGCCACTCAAAGTCCAACTTCTGAATGTGGGACAACTGCTTGAAATAGATGTTCCAGGTCGTCGCCGTGCCACCCAGGTGTCCGTTTGAGGCAAAATCAAGTTCCGCTAAATTTGCTGCGCTCTTGAGTGAGCGTGTGACAAGTGCCACGGCCTTACCTGTCAATGAACAACTCTCTAACTCCACGGACCGAAGATTTGTCATTGCGGTCATCGCGAAAGCTAAATCTTCATCAAAATTTGTCAGTTTGCAGTTTATAAGGACCAGTTTTTGTATCTTTGCAAGGTGCCTAGTGCCATGTTCCTTGTCATGCTCTGCAACCCGCTTCAGGAAGTAGGCCAATGAGATGAAGAGGTCACTATCATCCCAGTCACGGCCGTCGAAGATTATGTCTGTAGTTATGAATGCATCAGTGAATTCCTTTGGAGGGAGAAACTTGGACCGACCCTCAAAATAGCAATGGAGGGCCAACTGACCAAGCGTCGAGTACAGTGATAGGTCATCCAGAAATATCTCGACGAACTGCTTCAGTACTTCAACCGTGCAATCCTGGTTGTCACCACAACAGAAGCGCAGAAGGTACTCAAAACCTACCGCATCTCTCGAAATGACTTCATAGAGAGTCGTTCGAAATGTTTTAATGTCTACTTTCAACAAACTCTGCAAGTACTTAGCAGCAGAGAATTCCTGGAAAGTCGGGTGAATGAACTGTATGATGTTTTGAGTACGCAATCGCTGAAGAACTTTCTGTTTGGTCAAAATACCCACTTCCAAAGCTTTATCAAGCATATTCGGTTGCTTAAAGTCACTTTTTTTGACAAAGGTATCTTGATTTTGAGACAGAAAGCCATGCTTTAAGCCAGCCTCACCAATTCCAATAACAATATCGGACATTTCTTCCTCTGGCACCCCTTTCGCGTTGAAGATGAAATACATTGCATCTCCAAACAAGCCTGACAGTGTTTCCGGGAGAGTCTTCTCCTCTCTCCACAGCAAACACATGAACAGTAGCAGCATTGGCGTCCTTGCTAGGTGGAACAAGACGCCAGAAGACCGAATCTTGTTCAAAATCCCTTCAGCTTGGGCAGCTCCACCAGCCACCTGGATAGGCTTATTACTCTTCCTTCCATCAAGCCCCAAGAAGCCTTTCTCCTCCGGCCTGAAAAACTTGTTAACATATTCCACAACGTCATCGTCACTGAACCCCAAGATTCTGACATGCGTGAATGGCTCACGAACCAATTCGTGTGTTAGTAGCTTGTTGAAGTGAGAGGGTCGTGTTGAAACGAGCACGGTACAACCTCTGAACACTTTTTGCTTCAGGATCTTCAGGACGGAGCCAAAAGAGGATCTTTCGAGGTTGGTGGTCATGAACTCATCAAAGCCGTCAAGCAGAACGAGAACTTTGCTGACGTTGCCCGGGTTTCTAACGTACTCTTTCAAGGCATCTTTCTGTATGCTGGTCTCCTCGTCTAACAATTGACCAAACATAGCCTCAATGAGATCAGAGCTTTGCTCAAGCGCTGACATTTTCAACAAGATAAGAAGTTTAAACCTTTTTAGTGCCTTGCCACAGGCCCAGTCATATGCCATTTTGTGGAAAAGTGTTGTCTTCCCCGTACCGTGTAAGCCGTTTATAACTGCTACCAAAACATGATTATCTTCTTTTGTTTTCTCGAGGAATATTTCCTCGTACGATTCCAAAATGGTACCACTGAAACTCTCAGCTGCCAGACTGGTCTCCTTTAGTCTCGTTGCACCCTTAGCACCTAGAGTTAGCCGTGGTCTCGTGTGAATATCAGTAATGTGTTTCATGTCATCATGTACCCACGGGAGCAGGCTGACATGGCTACACGAATCTTTGTAGTAATCCTCTAGCGCAGCAGCACAGGCTTCACCGGCATTACTGACACGACGGTCCGATATGAGTCCATCGGTCCCTAGAAAAGGGAAAAAAGATAGCAAGCATCAGTTTTGCTTACAAAAGGAAAATACAAATAATGGAGAAAAAACGAGAAGTTTGGTGATTAGTTTAAAAGTAACGATTCCCGATTTTTTCCCCCAATTTTTATTGTTAAAGGTACGAGACACTGTTCCTCATAAGAAGCAACTTATTAACGCAAAGCTGCCAGCAGGGTTGAATCAGTTGGTAAATGATTTTTTTTACCCCCGAGAAACACAAATTTTATCCTCCATTTCCGAAAATCATACTTTAGCCTCATGACTGAGTTTCGTCATGTGACGTCATGTTTCGTGCCGAACCTCAGTAAAGATACAGAAAATGTGACACACTATAGAATACTTGGCCACCTACAGGCCCACAGATTTCAAAGCTCTGGATATTACCAGCTTTTACAGTTTTTATATCTTTAAAAGTGCCATAAAAAGTAAAAAGAAATCTCTAATTGATTTGACTTTTCCAGATGGAAGAGACTCAAATTGTGGGGTGTGACTTCAGTCACCTTGTTAAAAGGAACTAGAACTTGTCGGGCCATAAGGACCCTCTTGAACCAGAGACTTGTACCTAAAGTATGCTGTGTTTTGGTGTAACATGAAAAGACACGGTTGTGGTCGTGGTCAGGATTTTCTCCAAGAGGCATTTATCATCGGTGTATAGAAAAGGCATTAATTTCGAGGTTTTTACACAAATTCTGACTGTCATCTCCCGTCCACCTTTTCTTTGTCTCATTTCATTTAATTTTCTTTTGTTATTTCAATTATCAACCCCTTACGTAACCTCCCTCGAGATGCACACTGACATTGTTAACTCGTCCAATTCTTTGTGTATCACGTTTCCAATTCAGCTCCCCATAAAGCAGTGTCATATCCATAACGACTTCAACTCACACAAGTTACTTTTACACAGAAGCAAACCTGCACTCACTGTACCAATACCTTGTAGCAAGGCGGCAAGATTTCTCATTCCAATAGTCTCTGATGCCAGAGCATCATATAGAGCCTGGGACTTGTTAACGCCAGCTGGTTGCCTTTGTTTCCAGTCGATGAGGAGGCGGTAGGTTTGTTCTACCACATTGTTCGGAAAATCAGCTTGAAGCTGCAGCACTGTGACATTTTCAAGGCCAAGTTTCGCGGCCAGCCCGGTTAATTTCCTTGGGTCGAAGTTCTGGGATATTGTATACAGCGTGTTATCCGTAAGCTCCTCTGCAAGAAATACGAACAAACAAAGGAAATACAACAGACGGAAAATATCTATTCAAATTGTACAGAAGTAACCCCCCCCCATACTGGAGCGGGTAAACGTGTTAAACAATGACATAGTATCTTAATCATACGAATGGCATGCAGTACGTTCAGAACAATGATGTGGGTGCAGCATACCAAAAACTCCCCAAAGGATCTGTGCATTTCATCTGGTAGCTGTTGTCTATACAGAGAAAAATTAATGAAGCCAACAGGAGTGAGCATAGTACACTGAAATATTTGGCTCGTCTGCAAGGAATTATGTCTATAAAACAAATGTATTTGTTTTCAATTCCAACAAGACGTTAAGGATTATAGGGTGCAAGTTTTTGAAAGGTAATGCATTTCTGTTATAAGAAAAAAGTTGCATTACCAGCTGTAAAGTAGGAACGAATAACACTCGTGTTACCACAAAATACACGCTGAAAATACACTGAGAAAAAGTATCTCTAAGACGGTTTACACTGATTATTTCATGTCAACATTAGTAGCTTTAAAGCTTGTTTTGTTTCAGGGAAACTACCACGTCTTAAACGTGGGTTAACGATGTTGGACAGCCGCCCATTATGGCGTGACATGTACCACATCGTATGACGCTGTCAAATGTAGTATGGTAGCATTTTGCTGAGAAAATCATTTATTTTTAATGACGGTTGGTGGCGGGACGGTGGGATGAGATGTATATCAACAGAAGAAGTATTGTTTGAGTTATACGTTCTTGCGATGCATTCCTCTCATAAGAATTATTTTCCTCTCGGCAGTACTTGACTGCCAGGAACAGAGAGGGTTTAAATGAAATGTCACAACGAAATGTCACAACGCAATAAGTGACATTTCAAATTCCAACTCTAACATTTGTCTGCAGTTTCTATAGTGCTTCAAGTCAGCAAAACACAACATTAATGCTTCAGGAAAGTTACAATGACGTTTTTGGGCCCAGGGTGCGCTGCTTAAATTCTTCAACGTTTTCATAAGTGTGGAAAAGTGCACGTTGTTCACATGATGCATCTCGTTTAAGAAATAAACCCTTCTAATTCAAAACACATGCTAGCAAGTTAAATGTTATATGAAAAGGCCTTTCTTTGAAAAAAGATACCTTCTATGCTTCCCACAGAACGTGATGTGGTTAGCTGGCCGGACTGGTCCGATGTCTCCTCGGAGCCTACAGTCAATCCGATGGCACAAGAGGTAGGAATACTCATGAGAATGTATCATCCGGTACAAAGGATGGACTCGAGGGCAGCGATATGGCGTGAAGAATTGGCATTTATTCCGAAATAGAGATGTCTCTATTTCACAATTAAATAGGTATTGAATAGGAAATAGGTATCTTATAAAACATTTTTCATTGAAATGACGCAAAGCTAGATTATTTTTGTTTTATAAACGAAGATTTATATCAAGGAAATGGTCTTACGCCAAATACAAACTGTGGCATTAGTGTCCTATTTGAATATAATGCAGTGAGGGGTTTTTCCACTTTGGTAGGCCATTATTGGGAAGTACGACGTCCCTTTCATCACACACTGCGAAAAAGTATTCTAATGCAAACTATTTTACCCAATGTTTCTGCTGCAGCATCGTTACCGGCATGTTCGTCTGAGGTGTCTGTTTGATTCTCCAAAGTTTTTTCCAGGGTTATCGGAAAATGTTGATCTTTTTGCGAAATTCCTGCAACAATGACATATAGGGTAACTTGATGAACAAATATCAACTTAAACAAGAACGGCTTATCATTTATATTTTCAAGTGAAATTGTTTGACATCAAGTAAGCAGCCGAGCCCCTCAATCTTAGATCATTAACCAACTATACTGGCTGCATTCTTTCAAGGGAAATTTCTTTAAGGCAATGTCTAACATCAACCCTTCACCACGTACACCTGCATATTACAATTCATTCCCTGCTCATGCTGTTGTCAGGATACCCACACATTTGGGGATATCTGGTTAACAGCTAGAATCTGATTCTTGGTTTTCTATTAAAATCAAATACAAAAAAACATGACTGTGCATAGATTTACCGTGTAACTCAATAGCGAGATCCCTCCTGCCAATCTTTTCCAGCGCCTCCCCGAGGCTTTCTACTTGATTGAGGCGATGCACTTCTTTCCAGTAGAACAGCATGAAGACAATTTTGGCTGAATCGGTTTTCAGCACATCACTTTTGCAGAAATCGATATTTTCCCCGGATAAGCCAAGGTTTTCAGCCAACCCCTGTAGCGATGCGTAGTGGAGTCTCTGGGCTATTTTGCTTAGTGTGCGTTGGGACAGCTCTACCTCTGAAACAGACCAAAGGAAGCTTAGGTAAAATAAAATATCCTTATTTGTGATTCATGTTTCACAGAAAAGATATTGAAAAACTGTTCATAACAATGTACCTTTCGGAGAGAAAGAAAACGTGTGGCATATATCTTAAAGTCTCATCCTCACAATGTAGGCATTATTTGTAACTATTATAAACAATATTTGGAAACAGAAATTATGGATCACCTGTTGTCGTTGCATCCAGTGTTGTTTGTTCTTGTGATGCACCTGCTTCATTCTTCAATTTTTCATCTGCAGACATGTGACCAGGCTGGTTTGATGCCTGGACGCTAGCCTCGTGTTCTTCATAATAAAAAAGTGAGACCCTGTATTACACGAGAATTGCACCTACATCGGCATAGTTGTTTTGTATTTCCGAGAAATGTAAACAGAAGGAAGCTTGCTTGTAATTCTTATTTAGCATAACCTCTAAGTAAACTGTTCAAGAAAATTTTTAAAAAGGCTGAATTTAAGCAAAGAATGTGAAACTGTTAACTTTCTACACTGTTGGGCTTCCATTGCCCAGAGATTAAATCATTTTTACCGCGTACAAACAGCTGCGTAGCTTAAGAGAAATATTTGTGGATAAACTGATTCTGCCAACTAAATCAGCCAACTTGATTTTTTAAAGTTTCTTTTTTTTTTTCATCTTCTTCTCTTTTTTTTTTGGTAATAACCGGCCTTAGGCCCTACAGTAGATGATATGATCTCCATTTCTTAGCAAAAAGTGGTGTGATTTTAGACATTAGAAGGGCATTTTTAAAGTTCACGTGCAAAATTAAAAGCTACGTAATTATGCATGCTTTAGCCTACTGATCACCCCAAATAGACTGATGCAGTTCGCCCCTCCCACTGCTCATGTGAGACATTAACACGTGCCACCAGGGCATGTTGCTGGATGCCCGACATAAATTACAGCTGTGAGAGGTCAAACGACCACGGGTGTTTAATGGACAAGTCTGTTTCCATCAGAACTGGAGGTCAGGGTTGTATAGGCATGTTTAATTCTACCCTGAACTGTGAATTTGGAAATCTATCTAGCGTCCAGAAAAAAAGCACATATGAACAAGATTCAAGATTCAAAATTCAAATTTATTATTGTCCATGCAAAAATTCACATAGAAATTTACTTTCCATTGGCTTGTTGCAAACAGTAAGTTATTGCATTCATCAATGTTACAGTCACAATCAATAACAAGACAACGAGAGTGCATTAAAGTAGGCCGTAACATAAATGGCAGTCACAGGCTACAAAGATAATAATTTCCTTAATGACATTGCATATTCTCACCCTTTATTACCAATGAAAGTGTGTCGGGGAAGGATATCCAAATAAATAAAGTACCGTCTCACATTTGCATTTTAACAGTTGCGATTGAATTTAGACAAAATGACTGTCTGTATCGAAGCCGAAATGTGAGTGGGCACAGACGAATCCAAGAACGAGTTTGGTTTGGCTTTAAACCAAAACAAAAACTACTTTGCATTTTGACAATGGTGTAATTCTGATAGCCCTATACACACAATGCTTTATGAAGATATATTACCTCGCAATTCCTTCATCAGATGCCCACTCCCAATTTTCTTCAGGACTGTGCATAATCTATCCACGTGATTTCCAGGCTGCCTGTCTCTCCAGCTAAGGAGCAAGGAGAAGAATAGGTCTACTTTTTCCTTGGTCTCCAGTATCCTGCCAAAAGCCCGGAATTTTGCGATTTCTTCTTTGTCGCAGCCAAGACTTTCAGCCAACCTCACTGGCGCTCTGCTGCGGAGTTTCCAAGCTATCATTTGTAGTGTTTCCCTGGATATTCCGTCTGCAAAATGGTTTGGAAAATTACTTTTGTCACACAAACATTTCGCCTATGTGTTATATCATCATTGCTAAATTACACCCAAGTCGGACATTCGCAATGTAATTCGCCCGAAGTTCATCTTGATGCCATAGGGGTTTCTCGTATTTTATAATTTTCGGCTGTACACCTTCCCAGTATATCATGCTAATTGTGGTGAAGCCTGATTAGAAGATGGTAAACACGCATCAGATTTGCAAACGGTCTTTATTCACATCGAAGTGTCATTATGTTTCATACGCGTCCGGGAGCTTTGGGCTTTCCTAAAAATGATTACTTGTCACCTCGTCTGAATGCAGTGCATTTGCACTTACTTCTCAAAGGATACAGGAGTACACGTTTACTCAGTATACAGCAGCTTGTCTTAATTAAAAAAAAAGAGAGAACAGACCAGTTTGTCAAATTACTCAAGTGTGTCACGTGCCTGCTTTCCTATATACCTACCCAACTTAACGTTGGCTGAAGGGGTAGGCCCCTCCCTATATGGGTTTTTGTCAATTCGACGTAATGGTGACACACAGCAGCATTTAAACTTACGCTGTCTCTTCTGTAAACCAGTCGGTTTTCAAAAGCAACATATCCTCTACACGTTACCCACCAGCCTCCAACGCACCTGCTTCTTGGAGGGTGTCACCGTGGGGCGTTTGTTCCTTTCTCCCCTGGCGCCTTCTCTCTCCCCCGTTCCATTCAGCCATTGTGACTGGACGAAAAGAGAGAGCAAAGATAAAAAAAAATTTCCAGGGGAGTGGGGGTATTTTCTCACAAATCTTCAGACGACCTGACTTCCGTATCACAGTTTGAATTTCAAGCATTGGAAAGTAAATGAGGAAATCGTTTGCAGTTTCTAAGGAATATGTTCCCATCCACATTGCCTATACCCTGTGTAATCCTAAATACATCTTGCTTAGAGATAATATGGCAACGTGTCGCCACAACAAATGCAAAAGAAACGTCACGAACATTTTATCCCAGACGGTCAATGGTAATGAGATTTGCCAAAGTCAATATTTCATCACTTGACCGGTGGTCAGTGTTTTTGTGGACTGCAGACGATGAACAAGTTGCCTGTACATGTATATCTCGATTTTGTACCAGGTGCAAATATATATTTACTTCTACAACGATCCTATATAACGGGAGAGCAATAGTTCCAAAGTTCACACACGTCCATGTTTCGAAATTTCTACACCGACAAATTTGCAAACGACCCGGTTTCAGATCGTGTGACCCATGCAAACCACTCAAACTTTTTTCAATAATACACATGCACGCAAATTGCATGTGTATTGAATATAACCACATTACTGATCGAAAATCAACGTACTGACAAAACTTCTCGATCAAGCAATGCATGTTTGGTTGCACATTGGGCTTCATGTATTAAGAGATGGCCCGTTTGACATAGCACCAGCACTAGTAGCATATCCCGCTCCGCGCATTCATGCCTAGAGCCATTCTAGAACTAGGCCTATATAGAAGAAATATACGAAAGCTACTTACCTTAGTTTACCCCAGCAATGGTGAAAGGTGCATGATCACGTTTAGTGTGAATTACAAAGGCTAATAGGGTCGGAAAACTCTCACAAAATCCACATTTTGTCAGTAACACCAGTGAGTGCAGTACGGTACAAACTATAGTTGATTTTTGTTCATTTCAGTGCCCCCTCGTTGCTTCCGTAGAATATTGCATGATCCTCAGGATTGGAAATACTGCACATGTAATTCGTTGTTCACATGCAGGGCATTCTTATACAGTGACAGTAAAAGTCCACATGATCTTCAACAACTGAATCAGTCGGACATTTCGTCTGGAGAGAAGCACAGGCATGGATGGCATTGTGAGTCTCAATGTTGGCGGCTGCCTGTACGCTACAACCCTGCTGACAGTGACCCGCTACCCGGATTCCATGCTGGGCGCCATGTTCAGCGGTGAACTCGACCCGTCCCGGCGTGACGCAAACGGGGCCTTTGTCATCGACGGGGACGGGCCAGTCTTTCGACACATCCTGAACTTCCTTCGGCGAGGCAGGCTGATTCTTCCAAAGGACTTCCAGGAGTGGGATCTGCTGGAATCCGAGGCCGACTTCTACCAGCTTGAGGCTTTGTCTGAGGCAGTGAAGGCCGAAAAGTATCGGAGATTCATACCGGAAGACGCCATCGAGGAGAATTTTGAGTTCATTGAGATATCCGTTTGTGAAAACCTGAGTTACAAATATATTGGAAGCGAGAAGTATTTGAAAAGTTCACGTGATCTGACAGAGTTGCTCTTAGAGCGTGATATACTGGTATCAAATATTTCAGAACATAATCGAAGCGACGGACGGATGCAAAACACGACCTACACAATTCAAGCGAGACCTGATAGTGGGAGTGATTTTCAAGCTGAATTTGAACGTCGAAAGGGATCGATATTCCGTGAAATAACTACTAGACACAGGTTCAAGATGAAAAGACGGTCCTACACTACGTCCCCTTCCGGTGCGAAAGAATTCAAGTGGACATTTTCCAAATTCAAACATCTTTAGTCTTTAGGTTGTTCCTCACTGAATCAAGAGGCAGTTCTAAACACACCTGTCACAAAGCCACGAGGGACAGAATTCTCGAACTCGGTAGATATGTTTGTTCGTTTTCAGGAAAGAAATGTAGCAAAATGTTTATAATTGAAACTTACGACGATTTAATAACAAACATTTGCTTCCGTATTTTAAGCAGCAGTAAAAGGAGCAAGGCAGTTTTTACATAATACATGTTCAAAAAGAGTGATCCCTGTTCACCACTCCCAAGGTTGTACCTTCTGATAGACCGTCGCGGCGTTCCCAATTTCAGTCGTATTCCTGAACGTACAGTATAAATTAAAAACCCGTAGTGGGATGGTACCAGGTGATTAGGAGGTCGGAATCAAATCGTAGAATATAGTCTGGTTCTTTGAATTTAACGTTTTCAAATAAATACACTATACGTTGGGGGAAAGACTGAAATTGGGGACGCCGCGAATACAGTGCATTGGGGTGTGATCCCTGGCCACAGGCGTTTCAGATTTAATGGCTCCTTGCTATAGCGCCCCCAAACAGAGATATTGACAAATGGGAAGAGCCACCCACATAGCACTGGATTGTTCAGTTGGTAGAGCACTGGTACAGTGTTCCAGGGGTCGCAGGTTCAAATCCCACTCTAGTCAATTTCTTTGTTTCATCCCGACAGTTTTAATTAATCAAGGAAAATATAGCTGTTAGAAGGTTGTGAAGGTAGTTGAGGTGCTAGTATGTATATTGTGCTAGGTATTAAAGTGATTTTCGACATTTTTAGTTGTTCACACGAATTGAAAGATTTTTTGCAATCGCACATTATTTTAAATGACGGGAAACAAAGCACCAAATATCTTGACAAAGAACGAGTGATTGCTGAAGGACAAGTCTTCAATTTTGTGGGAAGGCAAATTATTCTTGCAAACAAGTCATGTACTGTTTCAAACAGTCATTCAGGCTCATTTTCTTTGCTACCTGACTATATAAACAGCATTGATTAATCACAAAATTAGAAAGTATAACTTGTCCATAAAATAGACATATTATTAATCAAGAATTATAAACTAGAATCACTATGTAGATCTTTAGTCGATAACACATTGGAACAAACTAATTGATTTTTGGCATTCACTCCCTACTCCTTAAAAAGCAAAAGAAACATTCCAATAAACTTTGTGGATGTAAATTTCTTAGCTTGTCTTTTTATTATTACTAGTTGATATTGAATTAAGAAGCACCCGTAAAACGAGGTGAAAAGGAACACCTTGGTAAATAATGACAAAAAAGCTGAACAATTGTCGCAGTTTTCTTTAAGTAATACTCAAAACCCTTCTATTTCCTCAATGTATGTTCCAAACATGTTTCCCAACCATTACCCCGGCCTCTTGACGGACAACTAACCTCTACCTTTGCGTGGAAGAAAAACTGTTGTCTTGGAACACATCTCAAATCACGATATTATCGAAACATTGCATATTTATCTGTATCGACTGGAGCGATCCATTAGATTTCACAGCTGAAGGACACCACACATACAGTCTTGCATCATGTGAAGCTTGTAGAAGAAATCATTTGGATGTGTGCAAATACTTTTGCCCTGTTTGATCTTTTTTATCTTCATTTTTTTGTGTAACAACTGGGGTAAAAAGGGACGTGATGCCACGAGACTGCAAACCTCAACCTCGGGCAGAAACATGTGCCGAGCAGAGTAAAGATGACTTTAAATTGGTTATTGTAACTGTAAAGCGAGGAATGAGCTTAACGATATAGACTCAAAACAGAATGGTATCCATTATTTTCAGACACCTCAAGCACTCACCCTTCACAAAGGTGGACTTTTGATTTCTGCAAAGATCTTTGAGGATTACGCCTTTTTGAGAGTCCAGAAATGTGTAGAACGTAGTAATCCATTACATACTCATTAGAGAATTATAATTCTGCCAGTTTTAGCAGTATTCGTAGCCTGCAATGTAGCAACGCGCTTTAGAATGTTTCACTGAAATGCCCCAAATTCAGTTTGTTTAACAATGTTTTCCCAGACTGAGTGTAAATCACGAGAGACCACGCCAATGCTGTCATGTATGATTTCAATAAAATATCCTCGGTTTAATTGAAACGAGAACACTTGATGTAGTAAGCACGCATTATTCCAAGTATCTCTGGGAGGACTACTGTAAAAGCGAGGTTAATGCTCATATGATATTCATTACTACATCACGTCAGTGGTGTAGTTGAGTTTGTAATAATCCAAGTCCAATCCAAGCTGAGTCCGTGGACTAGAATTGCCTATCTGATAAGCACACACACACGGCAATTCGTACACACTAAAGAAATACCACCAAAACATCGCTGGATATCCGACACTTTCTCCAAAAGAATGAAAGCTGCAGGTTGAAGCCTGTTATCTTCTTGTAACTCAACTATTCAATTTCGAATAGTGCAATTTGTCGGAATTCGTAATTTCTTTACGGATTTTACGTCAGAAATGTAAACACTTATGCCCGGCTGACAAGAAAATACGGCAATTTCTGCACAAGAAACACCACCCAAACATAGCTGTATGTCCGACGTTTTCTGTAAACCCGTGAAGTTGCGGATTTGTAGGTTATTTCAGGTTATAGTCCACCTACTCAGCTTCCAAACAATGTATAATTTGTCTGGAATCGTCATCACCTAACCACGGAATCGAAGAGTCGTACCCATACGTAAACGCATATATACGGCAATTTCCACACAACCAAGAAACAACATGGGACATTCCGTCAAAACCCATGGAACTTCGAGATATTTTTGTTATTCCGTGTTTTCGCCCTAGTGTTTAGCTTTGGAACAATATACAATTTGTACAATGTACACTTTTTTGTACAGTGTACATTTTGGCTCCAGTGAGTCTTTGAAAATGGACAACAGAAAATTCAAGATTGAAAACCACAACCTAGTGCTCCTTCACCCGCATTCATGGCATAGCAGGCCCAAAGGGAGTCGAGTGCAGCCCGACAGTGCCAGCCCTAGATCTGTTACTGTTGATTCATTAGTAACATTCACTGCGCGCCTGCACAGCTTTTTATACTGAGATCACTGAGAAGAAATAGACCCAAACACTGTCGGGACGGTTTCCTCGTCGAAATTAAGGAAATTAAGATTAAAAGTGAAAATAAATCAGCATCAGTCACTATATTCATACCTAGAAAATTACCTTGTGGGTTCTGCCCCGAGGGAAATAAAAAAAATGGTGAGGGAAAAATCCAAAAGTTATGCGGTGTTGANGTCGGCCATACGTCTCGAACCTGTACTAAGGTGCTCACCTGGACTTCGCGGACAGTCCCAGCCGAAGAGCTTACCCGTTAGGCTAAGGTACTGCTGGTATTTGATGGGGTGAATTAGAGCTCCTTATAGCTACTGACCGGGAGCAAGCGTTGGGAAAAATAAAAAGCCACCTCTGGGATTCGAACCCGCCGGATAACGATGTGATAACCGCGAGCTTAACCACTCGGCCATTTCAGAGATATTGCTTTTCGTCGTTCATACAAAGTAGATCAGTAACCTCACTGCACAGAATGTTGCTGCGTAAAGACAGAGTGATTAAACGCGACAATAGTGCATCACAAGCAAAAGTACACATTCAAACACCCAAACAGCATTTGGTCATCAACATTAAATGCTCTCCCTGACAGCTTCTCTGAAGTATTTTTAAATGAGAGTGCATCAATATGGGCAAATATCCTGACCACGTCGATACACCTGTCTATACATGTCCGAACTCTTTCATAGTATTATGTGAATGACACGCCTTTTTTCCTTTTGGGGACTGGGGGGGATGAGTTTTCTCTGTTTCATTTACAGGTACACGCACACGAATTTCTTGCCCAAATTGTCTTGGTTTTACCAAGGACTCTTATTGTTACCGTAAAGTTGTTTTCCTTTTATGCAGTGTTCACATTGATCTGTTCCTGATCAATGATTGATTCAACAACCTTCACTTCCTGTTTATTTTCTGTATGTATAGTCTTTACTTAATGTTTATCTTATTTGTTTGTTTTTCTTTTGAATTTGTGTAGTACAAGTTTGACAGTTAACATTTAAGTGCTTTCCAGCTAAGATTTTATGTTTCACTTTTTATTTCAAATTATTGCATTTCTACCTTGTATTCAGTATATAAACGACTTTTGAATCTCCATTTTATGCATTGTATTAACATAAGTTTCTGTATTCTCTCGCCAGATTTGCAAACAGTTACTTCAATTAATTTTTCATTTTGATTATGGTTTGAGAATTTCTAGTTTATCCATGCTGAAATTTCCGAGTAATACTTCCACTCCTCAATGCACGCAGTCAGCAATTCTACGACCACAGAGTTGACCACAGATTCAAGAAGTTACACCACCCAGCTTGCACCCCACTCTATATGTGACCCACTCTGTGAAAGTGAGTCTTAAGTAGCCAGAGCCACTTTTTGAGTTTTGATTGGAAAGAGCAAATTGAGTATTTTGTTTTGATGTATCAATCAGACTGGCATCCTTATGAAAGTGGATGTTCCATGGTGAACAAAGCTGGGGGTCCCTATTGGTTTACACTGCGCAAAATTATTCTAATGAACCTTTTACTCCAACGTGACTCTGGCAACTTAAGACTCATTTTCACAGAGTGGGTCACATATATAACCACGCTCAAAATATTCCATCGTCAGTCTTTCCCCCAGTCTTCCCTCCTTCTTCAGCTTAGTTTTCCTCGCTGACTTCCAGCGATATTAGTCCGTGTTTTCGTGAATAAAATACTCTAGACCCAATTATCATTGTGACAGTGTTGTTTCTTCAACTCAACTTTGTCTTTCCACGCTAGTAATTTCAGGTCCTTATCCACACCTTACACTAAACCGTAGGAAAACGCTTTCATTAAATGTTCTCTAGTATATCAAGCAGCAAAGAATAGGCCTACAGTTGTTTTTTGTTTGAAGGAATGAAACTGGGGACTATACGTCGAAGCATAAAAATATATATTTTCTTCTACATTCAGACTGAAATAGTTTGAAAAGAAGGCTTCCAACACATAACTCGAGTTACATCTCGATCTGACAGAGAGAATCTTCCTGCAATTCGTCTGAGTCATTATTTTCAGTCGAAAAGAAATAGAAAGAATGAAATTTCATTCGTTGGAATTTAGAAAGTTTGGGCAAAAATGAATAAAAAAAAGAATTAGAAACTGGGAGTCTTTTCATGCATTCATTGAATAACTACCATCGCTACAAGTATTGTGTCCAGACTGTCAGTAGTGTGTGGAGAATCACATTGTGCAAAGTGGGCCTGGTTGCGCATTAACTTGAATGCCAGGTGAATTTTCCCCGTACAGGTATTTCGTATGATTTTTGTGTGTATTTGGTTGGTTAGGAGAAGCACATATCACCAAAATGCACAGGAACATTCTTTTAAAGCTATTTCACCATTCTCGTCCGTTCATTTCTATTGCATAAGCTCTAACCTCATGGTGTTTATAAAGGAGATGTTACCAAAGATGGTCACCAAGAAAAAAAGAATCTTGAATCATGTCACCATTTGACGAGACTTTTACTTGCTGGTGAAAAATGGTGATTAGGGCAAAATTAACGGGGAAATATCGCAGAATCAGCGACGCCAGCTCACTGTGCTGTTCATTCTCGATTCTACTTTTGTTTTGTCAAGCCCTTGCACCACAAAATGCTCCAAAACAGGATGAATGGGTGGATTAATTGTGTTTGCCGGAAAGAGGCCATTTTCTAATCAGCTTGCAGCTGGATTGGGCATGCAGGTGACTTCAATCAAAAGACACCTAAAATGCCCAACACCTCAGACTGTTAACACCGCAAACAATGATGCACTGCATTGAAGCAAATTGATCTATTCGCTACACTCTTCTCCCGGATCGCCTTCTAACAATTAAAGAAGCATTTCAAAATGTCAGGAGTGTCAGCGCAGAACAAATCCAGCATATCAAAACGTCACGCCAAACCTTCGTCATTGTTTCTCTTTTTTTATTCTAAGTCAATGGATAAAATTAGAGGCGCAGGTTTAATCACCTTAAGTGATTGAATGTACATGTATTCATTTTTTTTCGTTTCAATAAGTAAACAAAGGATTTGTACTTTATCTTGTTGAAATTGCTTTCCATGGCATTACTTTATAAACCATGCCAAATTACCAACAAAGTAGTAAACATCTCTCAAAGACGAATATCACAATAGCAACGTTAATATACTGTCGTGACGCTTATTAAACAAAACCATTGTTAGCATTGTCACCAGGTGTATAAAATTGGTATAAAGAAAATGCACAAAGGACGATACATGTATACATTTTTATATATATCCCAAGACGAATAATTTTTTCCCATACTGCAGGGTATAAGTGGTCTTATTCGAAGCCATAATCTCATTTTATTGTTGACCGATCTACGTCTGAGTGTTACTGTATAAATAAATCACCAAATGAGAATTGGACATGTCCCCAACCCCCTCGTGTCACATGGGACAGGCTTCATTCACGTTACTCTCGGATTAGACCATCAAATTAATATAACTTCATGAGCTAGCGCATCTTTGGTTTACAAAATGCAAATATTTTGCTTGTATGGTTTACTTTGAAGAGCTCGATTATTATTTCCATCTTGCATAATTCTGTTATTTGTTAATTGGCGCAATCGGAACACTGTGCAGCAGTTTAAACAAAATTCGAAGTACAGGAGGAATTTTTTACTCTATAATGTTGAGAATCAAATGAGGCAGTTATACATCAGAAACTATCACTGGTATCCAAAGCTGTTATAGAGAGAGTTGCGACATGAGTGTCTCAATCGTTGGAACCAAAATGGTGCATAATTATGTGTCAGTGCACATAGACAATAGCACACAACAGCTGCACGATGCACACTGTACACATTATGAATAGCCATTTTGGTTCCAAAGTCTGAAGTTGAAACAGCTCTCCTAGCATCTACCATGGGACTTTCGGGTAAATGTCCATGTCAACTCCTGGATGCTGTTATTCGGATCAGACGATGCACTAGGCGCCGCCTTCAAATGGAATCCCAGTTTTGACATCTGTCGGAACACTTCCATGCGAGTCTGTGAAATATTTGGACAGTCGCAGCCCTCTTTTCCCAGCGAGACACCGTACCGACCATTCTCGCTGACTTTATTTAAGATATCACTGCGCCTGAGTGGAAACCCGTCTTTCAAACTGTCGTGCCTGCCAAGAAACTGCAAAAGAAGCGGTATCTGCTCCAGGGTATTGCGAGTACCAGTGTAAATGAAGTGATTTCCACGGACGGTGATTTCCAGGAACTCCAGGCTGTCTTTCCCCGCCATCAGCGCTCTCGCCGCGTCCGTCAACTCTTTCAGTTGATAGAAGTCCGCTTCAGAGATCAGCAGGTCCCACTCCATGAAGTTCTCCGGGAGAGCCAACTTACCCCGCCTGAGGAAATTCAGGACGTGGCGGAAGATGGGCCCGTCTCCGTCGATGACGTAAACTTCGTTATCATCATTAGGATGCGCGCGGATATCCTGACTGCTGGTAAACATGACGCCCAGCAGCGAGTCCGGGTAGCGAGTCAGGGTAGCACGAGTCGTGGTAAAGGAATAACCGCCAACATCAAGCTTAACTGTGTCATCCATACTGTTTGTTCTTCTGGCCTGCTTCTGCTGTAAATAACGTAAATTAAAACTAGACCATCAGTTCAGCGCACGTCCAGCTGTGTTTGTACCACGATGTAAGGGGAGGTTGTAGCTTTACTGCGTATAATATAACTCGATCTTGGTTATAAATCAAAGGTCAATTTTCAGTTGGATTTTTTTTTTGCAGTGTTATCATATCAGAAACACAATTTACAATTTTGCTTATCAGAACTTCAGCTTGTACTCTTGATAAAGTTTGACACGATAAACAAATGTCTGGTAACAATATATGAAAATCAATTCAAAACTGGAAAATCCATGCTCAATTGCTGAAGCCTACCGTATAAATGTTATAATTTTTCGGATTCCCCCGGTCGGACTTCTGGGAACTTCTGTAGAGTAAATGTGCCCCTTTGCCGCCGTGTTAAAAGTCCGCAGCCACATCATGCCGACTGCACAAATGAGAAAAAACTTGATGCATTTAGATAAACAAACTTCTTGGTTGAAGCATGAAGCTCGTATACGTATACAGACAATAAACTCAAACATGAGTTTTTCCACCGTGACGCACTGAAGACCGTCTTCAAGCAGGCATCATCACCAGAGCAACGCACTGAAGACCGTCTTCAA